CTCAAGGCTTCAATGGATGCAGAAGCTTTAACACCAATGTGGCCACACAAGCCATAGCAAGCACAAGGAGAACTTAAGAACAAATAACACAAAGAGATAGATAAAATATCTCAAAACTTTATTATTCTCACAAGAGAATAAAAAAATAAAAAAAATGTCACATCAGTAATTTTTTTAAACAACGATGATCAAAATGAAATCAAAACGTAAAGTCGTGTATGATTTAAAAAATAATAGTTAAGTGATCAAAATGAAACTGCATGAATAATTGAGTGACTAAATAAGTAGTTTACCCTAAAAACATTTCGGAATTAAAATGAAAACAAATGTAAAAAGTATTCACACGCAATATTTGATAAAACCCAAACATAAAATATCAAAGTTGGTAAATTTGGACCTTAACATCAGGTCACGTTTACATTGGTAAATTCAAATTATTATATCAAACATGCAAGGAATGTCGGGATGAGCTTTATTTAGGGCTTTTTGACGAAGCTTTTTAGTTGGAAGAAACCCCCAAAAGAAGTTGAGACAATTTGAACACATAACTAACACTATGATTTGCAGCTGTGTTTTAAACACTTTCTTTGACCTTAGAAAAGCTTCATTTAGGCATCCAATTAGAGGACAAGAGAAGAACATCCTCCTTTCTCATGTCTAATTTGGTTTCCTCGTAATCTTAAGTGGGACATGCAAATCCTTGTGTTTTCGGTGCATAATGTTAAACACCTAATTGGACTCGCAAAATATAAGTTACAAAATAAAAATTCTCCCACGGTTTATTTTCATATCTGTAATAGGTCAACTCTTCCCATGTTTTAGATGGAATCGAAGTTTCGAAAAAGTTCTATCAACTGAATTTGATTTTATAAGAGTTAAATATGTCATATGTTCTCAAACTGACTCATATTTCAAATCGGTCTTTAAATTTTGAATATTCTATTTTCATCTCTAAAATATGACTCTCATTCTAAATTAGTTTTTAAATTTTTGAACATTCTAATTTCATCCCCAAATTATGACTCTCATTTTAAATTAGTCCCCAAACTTTTGAATAATTATTAACAATGGATGTGATTAGTATATACATGTAGTTTGGGATAAAATTAAAATGTTCAAAAAGTTTGGGGACTAATGTAGAATGAAGGTCATAGTTTGGGGATGGAATTGAAATATTCAAAAGTATGAGGAATAATTTAGAATGGCAATCATAGTTTCAGGATAAAATTGGAATGTTTAGAAGTTTAGAGACTAATTTAGAATGAAGATCATATATTAAGGACATGTGATGCAATTAACTCATTTTATAATATATTATGTTACACTCATGATATTTATTAAAGAAAATGATTTACTTTAGAAAATATATTTATGGAATTTTATTTAATGAAAAAATACATGTGTAATAAAATATATGATACAATTTTATCAATCACATTTTCGTTCCTTATGAGATATTTAATTTATTAAGTATTTTATTTACTAGTTTAGATCTTATAATGGGTAAAAATACTTATATAACAGCTCTCGTATTTTTTCACTTTTAAAAATATAAAAAATTATAATATATTTCAGTATAAAATTAAATTTATTTTAAAAATGTGTTAATTTCTATTAAGTTATTAATTTATATATTCCAATTTAATCAACTTTGATTGGGTGGGGGGAATAAAGTAAAACATTTTGCAGACATAATTATTGGGAAGAAAAATAAGTTGAGGTTTGATGTCCACTAGGCTAAACGTGTGCATATCAGGTGGTGTAATAATTAAAATAAAGTAAATTAAATTTTATTTAAAACTTTGTGGTAAACTACATATTTAGTCATCTAACTATAATTTTATTTCTGTTTTGACCACCAAACTATTTTTTAAAATCACAATTAACATTACGTTTTGGTTTCATTTTAATCACTCATCGTTAAAAAATTAAAAAAATTGTTGACGTGACATCTTTTATTTTATTCAATGATGATGTGGCATTACCTTATAGTGACATGTTAGTGTCATTGTTATTTTTTTTATGATGAGTGACCAAAATGAAACCAAAAATAAAGTTAGTGTTGATTTTAAAAAATAATAATTGAGTGATCAAAACATAACTAAAGTGTTAATTTTGTAACTTTTAATAGTTGATGGACTAAACAAAACAATGTCATATAGTTTGTGGATTATTTTGTAATTTTTAATAGTCAGTGAACTCAACAAAACAACAGCTTATAATTGAGGGACATTTGTATACTTTACCCTATAATTAAATAATAAGTTCAAACTATTGTTCTTTATTTTCATTGGTTCAATTATTATATATTTATTAATTCTCTAACTTTCGATTTGTTATTTTTTTTAATAATATGCGATAACTATAAAATAATATATGTTCATAATATTTTTTAATCACAAATAATATATATATCTTGTAGACGCAATTACTCGAATATAGAATATACAATAAAAATAACGCTCTTTTTTTGTCATTAAAATTATTCGATGGAATTAAAATTTAGAAGGTGAGGTTTATTAATTCTCTAACCTTTGATTTGATAACCATTATTTTAGATGGAATTAAAAATCAATTAAAGTGATTGATCAGATATAATCTTTCATCATTGTTTTGAAGTTGATAATCATCATTCAAAATGCACCCATGAGCCGAGTTGCAAAATCCAATTAATTACTTCTACAAACAAATAGAAAGCAATAATTAGCTTTAAAGACCAGAAATTTTCTTTTGAGGGGAAAAGAAAAAGTTTTCTTAAAAAGAATTAATCATTTATGTATATAAAGGTAAAATTAGGGAAATATTGTAAAAGATAAATATAGTGATTTAGTTTTAATTAAAAAAAATATTTTTGTAGTATTTAATAAAGTTATCTACAATTGACTATAATTTTGTGTGAACTTATATTTAAGTTTTGGTGTACGAATTAAGCGATCTCATTAGTTATGGAATTTATTATTATCTTTTGAGGTCTGGAGTTCAAGCATTGTGTATGCACATGTATGAATGTTCGTTATCAAAGAGTCAAGAGCCTTTAAACATATATTATTTTACATTCACCTCGTATTTATCAAAAAAGAAAATGTGGTTTTAGGAAGTTATTATCTACTACGGACTATTTTGAAAAAATTGTCAATAAATGTTGGTGACTTTGAGAAAGTTATCACTATGGGTGAGCAAAACTCAATTTGATTAAGAAATTAATATTTTTAATTTTTAAATTAATCGAATCGATTTATTTGAATTTGAGTTTACTCAAATTTCAATTTTAATTTTAAGTTCTAGTTGAGTTCGTATTTATCAATTTGAAAACCGAAAAATCTAAACTTGATTATTTTACAATTTAATCATTAAATTATTTATTTCTTCAATTTCTTCTTTATTTTAAATCTATTTTAATTGAATTTGAATCACATATCCATAAATCATTATAAAATACATACGTAACTCTAATTATTCATCAAAAGAATACCAACATAACGTACATGTAATTAATCAGTCTTAAATCCCACTTGCACACACTTCACTCTTATTATCAGACATGTAGGGTGAGTTTGGAGGGGGATTGTGAGATTATCAGGGGGAATTTTTCACATGAATGTGATTCTCTCGTTTGGATTGTAAAAATTCTCAACCCCGGTAATAAGTCATTCACAACAGTAGCATTTTGAGGGCTTATTACTGGGAATGTGATTCCCCCCAATCCCTTAGGTATTGTTATATTTCTGGTGTTTTAGACTAAAATGCCCTTAATATTTTTTTTTTCAAAAATATCATTCTTATGTCGTTGGATAAAAAAATTATACGAAGGTTAAATTACAAATTTATCCTTAAATTATTTTAGATTTACAAAAAAGTCCATAATTAGAATTTTATATGAAGTTCAGGGGTTAAAATAAAATTAAACTCTTTCATTAAACCTATTTATCTTTTAAATTTTGTAAAAAAAATATTATATAAATTTTATGAATTTAAAATTTTTAAAGAAAATATATAAATTAAAAATAGTAAAATTATATATTTTTTATGATCTTGTATACAAATATTTTCATTTGAATATTTAGAATTCAACTTGTTAAAAAAACCAATATATAATAAGGACAATTTAGTAAAATATATATTTCAATAATCTTTTATTCCTTTAACCAAACATTGTAATCTTACATTCCTGCTAAACGAACCAAACACAACAATACAACATTCCCAGTAATGTATTAGGTAATTTACATTCCGGTAATCCTATTCCCGGAGATAATGCTACATTTCATGAACCAAATGCACTCGTAGGGTGATCCTCCGTTACACCTAGCCAGAGCCATGTACTCTTTAAATAATTATTATAAAAAAATAGTTCTCAATATTTATATAAATAATTATTTTGATTTATATTATTTTTAGAGTATTTTAGTGATTTAATCTTTTTTCAAAATGATTATTATAGATGAAAATCATTAATTGACTAATAAATAACATATTATTGATGTAATATTTTTATATTTAATTAATGATGTGACATATATCATACTATTATTTTAAGTGATGTAGCACATATGTTGGTCATTAATCAATAAACAATTTTTGTAATATGAACTATTTTAATTAAAAATTAAAATTATAAAATTATAAATTATAAAAAAATAAAGATCTTAATAATTATATATACAAACATTTAAGATTAATTTTATCATTATATCTAAAAAGAATGATGTATAATATATGCTTTATCATTTCCCTTTTCAGACATCACTAGGTTATCCTGAAACAGCTGAACCCATTCTGTCCTTTGTAGTAGCCTGATTTTTTGTTTAGAAAAAAAGAAAAGGAGTCTGGATTTCATTCACACACGAGCGACACAACTCGTACTCACTTGACCGGCCCAAACCGTTAATTGCGCGCGAGCATTAGGAAAATTCCACACGTGTTCCATAATATCTACCGAAACATTCACTAAAATTACGAGAAAACGAAATGACTTCTTTTGAGTTTTGAGTTCCCATTTGGCAATTTCTCCGTCAAAACTGTAGTACATACACTCTTTTACCCATCAAAATCCCACTCAACTGTCCGTTTATTTTAACGGAGGAATTAAACATATAAAGGTATTACAACGTTTGAAAAAACAGCTCATTAGTCGTCGCCGTCGAACAAAACTGCCGGCGACCACTCACCGACGACAACAGCTCGGGAAAAAAAAAACAAAAGGAAAGCTAAACACTCGATACAAGAGGATCTAACAAGAATAGATCATCAATTTCTTCAAAATAATCGTCCACTTGATCATCCCCTCTAGAAATAGACGACGTAGATGAAGGCGAGGAGTAGCACTCAAACTCTAGAGACGTATCGAGTAAAATGTCATCGAACACTTTACTGTCTGACAAAATCGATGAACTATCATCAAAGAGTGGCAATACCGGAACTGGATCATTGAAGAACTCATCGAGGAAAGGGAAATCGAGAGGCAAATGATCTCCACAATCACTGGTTGCCGGTTCTTGAACCGGCGGCGACGGTTTACTTTCTTCCTCTTGAAGTTCATGACCAGGTCTTTCGGGTTCCACCGATGTTTCTTCTTCACTCGATTGAGTTTGAAAGTTGAAGACTGAAGTCGGAGACGAAAGGTTGCGAGGTGAGTCGTCTCCCGATTGGTACCAGGAAACCGATGGCTTGTCGATGTTTTCTGGATTTCCGGTAATATCTTCAGTTGGAGGAGTAATGAAGTTGGTTAAAGCGTTTGGTCCTCGAAGTTTGATTGCTGCATTATCGTAAACCAAGGCAGCTTCTTCAGCAGTGTTGTAAGTACCCAACCACAGCCGTACGCGTCGAGCGGGATCTCGAATCTCTGCCGCCCATTTCCCCCACGGTCGTTGTCGTACACCTCTGAACTTCCTCCCGTTCCCGTTCGATGAAGAAAGCTTGGGTGGTCTACGGTTGGGCCCCGAGACATCGACGGCTGCTGCTTTCCTTTTCCGGGTATTACCGGGAACGGTGGTTTTGGAAACGGCGGACTCGATGCTGATCTCATTGACGTAGCGTTTCACTCTCCGCCGACGACAATAGAAATCGTCTTCGTCGTCGCTTGAAGAATCCGTTGCGTCAGGGTCCGTCACCGATACCCGAACAACTTTCGTGGGCTTGGAAGAATCTTTTCTGAGCATTTTTGTCAGGGTATTGTGCTGGGTGCAAGTGATCGGAAATAGCAAATCTTGCTCCATTTCGAGGATGTTTTTGGTATCAACGGTGAGTAAAAGGACAAGGAAGAGTGAAGAAGAAGCTTAGATCAAAGAAAAAAAGGCTGAATCATAAATCTACAAAAAGGGAATCAAAGCATGCAGAAAAACAGTAATAAAATTGTTGAAAAGTTGCATGTTTTGGAGAAGAAGAGCTTCAAAACGAAACAACTAAGAGGGCAGAAGGAAAGACTGTGTGGTATTTAAAACAAAGTGTAGGAAGAAAAAGTGAAAAACAACAAAACTATTGTCAACGAAGAGTGGGGCAGACTGAAGTGTAAATGTTCACACTCAATTTGCCTTTTTATAGCATCCAACAGCCGAAATCGGAAAAATCATGAAACATAATATCTTTATAAGGCAAAAGCAAAACACATTTCACCGATCAAACTCTAAACTAGAGAGGTAAATGAGACGAGATAGATCGTGATTATTCGAGATTGACTCGGTCGAGGTTCGATAAATAATTGGATCGAATAGATTCGACTCGAATTCTTAACGAGCCAAAACGAGCTACTTGATACTCAACTCGAAAAGCTCGTGAGTAGCTCTAAAATATAATATATTAAGATTTTATTTTTAAAAATAAATTATTAATAATATTAACATTTATGTGTTGATTTTTAAAAAAAATACAATAAGGCTTTCATGTATATAAGGTTCAGGTTCGAGTTTGAGTTTGAAGATTCAATCTTGTTAAGTTTAAGATTTTTTTTTCTTTTCGAGCTGCTGACGAGCTTCAGTTCAGGATTTCGAGTTCGAGTCGAGCTTAAAAATTTTAAGCTCACGAGTTTTCGAGTCAAGTCGAGCTCCATTTCAGAATTTCCGAATCGAATTCAACAATACTCGAATTCGACTCGACTCGTTTACACCCTACTCTAAACTCTGGTATTAAACCACACTTTGTTCCTTTTTATCTGGCGCTTAATTACTGTTGTCGGCGTAAGGAATGACTGATGTCTATCGGCTTCAAGATGCTAATGACCTTCAATTTATATGATCTATAAGCTATTAATGTACTGAAACTATATTCTTAACATATACTATTCTGTGGCTGCGATCTTTGGTGTTAGAATTTTGGTACCAACAAATTGATGTGCAAGTGAAAATACAACGATATTTGAAACAAAAGTCAATTGTTGTTTTTCCTTGCGGTGACAATCTATTTTTCCTAAATATAAGTTTGTTGACAATTCAAAGGAAAACGTTGACGGATTTAGCATACGCGTGGCCAACGTTGCAACACGTGTTAGCATTAGTATTCATCACCCTTGGCGTTATTTTATAATTTCCATTTAAATTGATCGGATTATAAATTAACTTCAAATTATTATATGAAATTATTTTACGGTCCAAAGTGGCGAAAAACACGCTCCTCCCGTCAACCCAGCTGCAGCGCGTGTCCTTTGTCTGTTGCTTATTTCGTAGCTACTTTTTCATCAGTTCTCACTTCTCCGTCGTCGACTCCACTGAAACTTAAATAATATGCTTGATGATCTAATTTTTTTCATCAATTATGAAAAATAACGTGGTGATAATTTATCTAGTCCATTAAATATATACTTGATGGCCTAATTTTTACTTAATAAAAATAAAATATATCTTAAGAACAATTATTTATTCTTTAGTACAATTATTGTAATAAAGGAATAAATCAGTAATAACAATGGTGAATACCTTAATTATTTAAGTATGCTAGCTGGTCCAACTTCCAGGGGCAGATGTACATGGCTCCATAGGGGAGCCATTACACACTCATTATTTTGAGAAATGTATTAAATTTAGTTTAGTTTACTAATGAAAATAGGAAAAAATAAGAAAATTTGCACATCCAAATTTTTTTAGAATAAAGTGTTAAAATTTTGAACCCTCATTTTTTAATTTCTAAATCCGCCACTACCAACTTCCAACCAAGAAATAAACATGTCTCTCCATTTCAATTTTGTTTACTTCTTTTCTACTTATGAGACAACTCGTGTCATCGGAATTTTCTTTTTCTTTTTAATACAAATATTTTTTAATTATCGATATTTAATTTATTAACTCATTAATCTCAATTGAATATTGTAAAAAATTATTATGAGGAAAACTTCCTCGACCCATTCTATTCTTTTTATAAAATCTAAATTTGTACACCGCTAGCTAACTGATGTTCATTCCGCTATTAAATTGAAGGGTAAAGTATATAAATGGTCCATGACTTTAGGGTATTGTTTTGTTGAGTCCATCGATTATTAAAAGTTATAAAATAGTCTATGATTATAAGGCGATGCTTTATTGAGTCCCTCGACTATTAAAAGTTACAAAATAGTCAACTGACTATTCATATGTTCCAAACTCGTCATTTTTCGTTAAAAAATTGGTGGTCGTCTAAATTGAACGTTAACATGTTGACTATGATAAAAACTATACTAATTACTATTAATACCTATTTAATACAAAAGCTACATGTTTAGTATATAATCCAAGTAATGTAGCCGAAATTAAGTGACCAACCTGTGAGGGGAAACATTAATGGCTCCCATGAGACCAATTTCATATTTTAAGGAAAATGATCAAAACTTTATGAATAATATTTTCTATATAAAGCTAATCAAAGTATCACACATATATATTCTGAAAAGCCAATTAGAGTGAAGAGAATATATATCAGCAATGATTTAAGGTATGATTAAGAAAGGATTAAAACTAAATATCTATGACTCAGCTTTTACTTACTTTTTCCCGACATGCACCAGCACCACTTCATTTCTCGATCCCCTAAGTTTTCCTCGAAACAAATAAACTATTTTTGTTAAGGAATGTACGACTATTTAATAATTAATATTAAATTAATTTCATTAAATGATATTAGTGATAAAAAAATATTATTTTTCTTTAATAATTTAGGTTTGAGTAGTTGTATTTATAGTATATGTGTATGTCGTTTCAATTATCATGAATGATTTTTAACAGATACTATAAACCTCTAATTTAAAATTGGATCGTATTGTTAAATTAAAATTATATTGGTAGTGGTATGGGAAGTTGGCAGATTGTGATTGTCTGTGCCGAGTTGAGACAGGCTTTTTGAGTTGCATTGAAAAATAGAGATTAGGTTGAGTGTTATTTATTGAACCAGATTTTCAGGGACATTGCTTCTCTTTCACTTAGGGTTGTTCATCGAACTATCATTAATCGAATTAATCGATTTTTTTTCTTTAATCGTTAATCGAACCGAATTTTTTTTGAAAATATTAATCGAACCGAATAAATTTTGGTTAATTCGATTAATTTTTGAATTAACCGAATTTTTTTAAAATTTTCTAATTTATATAAAAAATAAATATTTTATAATTAAAAAAACAGTTTATAATTAATTTAAATAATATATAATTATAAAATATAAATTTTATATAAATTTTTTAATTAATTAATATTGATTTAGGTTTAAAAGTTATTGGATCTTAAATTATTAATTGGGTTTTAAATGGTTTGGGCTGAGCTTATATGTTATATATAATATTTTTAATATTTTTAATTCAGAAAAAAAAATTTACAATTAATTTAAATAATATATAATTATAAAATAAAAATTTATATAAATTTTTTAATTAATTAATATTGATTTATGTTTAAAAGTTATTGGATCTTAAATTATTAATTGAGTTTTAAATGGTTTGGGTTGAGCCCATATGTTATATAAAATATATTTAAAATTTAAAATTTTATTTCGGTTAATTAACCGATTTCGAACCGAATTAACCCTTAACCGAATATAAAAAAAACCTTAACCATTCTCTGACCGAACTAATTCGGTGACCAACTGAATTAACCGAATTAGTTCGATTCGATCGATTAATTAAGTTAAAACCGAATTTTGAACACCCCTACTTCCACTCGTGCCCACGACCCATTTGCCGTCGGCTGAACTCACGTAATAATACTGTGAAAAAAATTTATTCACAGCATAATACTCTCCAAGAATTAATTCTTGAGATGGTGCGAATGCTACAGGGGTGAGATTTGTCGCCATGCAGTCGGGGCGAAGCAGGTATTGGTCGCCATGCAGTCGGGGCGAAGAAGTAGGTCGCCATGCACGCTCGGCGTTGTTCTGCATGCACGGTTGGAGGTAGTTAGAAAATAATCATTTACTGGAAACACCCATGGATGATGATTCATATTATATATTCCCTCAATTTTATATTTGTTCTCATAATGCACATATTTTAAGAAAGTCAACCTTCTTAAGCTTTATCATATCATTATAATTATTTTAACCCATTATATTAAAGTTGTGTGGTTATAAGAGTATTATATTAAAGTGGGGTTGTAAGAGTATTATATTAAAGTGTATAAATATTTATTAAACCCATTAATAATAAAATATTATTATTGTTATTAATAGTTTAACACTTGGGCCACATGTGATATACTGGCTAACGGAAATATTGTTCATTAAACAATCTAAATGGTTCAACGAAAATATTGTTCATTCTAGAGGTCTTAGGTTCGAACAACTGGATCTGTAAGCTGTGTGTACGTTATTAATTATTAAAAAAAATTCTAAATCGATGATATATTGTAATTATTCTATACTATTTAAAAAAATATATTTTAAAATATATTATTAAAATACAATATACAACACATAATATAAGTAACTATTGATTTTACGAACCCTAAATCCTAAAATATTTTGATTGTTGCTGAAAACTTTTATAAATTCATGGTATATTGAGGGAAATGAAAGTGGTAGAGGATGGTGATATCTACCATGATGGTGGTTACAAATTTGTTTTTTATAAGAAGAAATTGTTTGGATGGAGAATTGATACCTAAGACCTCTAGAATGAACAATATTTTCGTTGAACCATTTAGATTGTTTAATGAACAATATTTCCATTAGCCAGTATATCACATGTGGCCCAAGTGTTAAACTATTAATATTTAGATTGTTTAATGCTCATGTCTTTGACCTCATCCTTAAATTAGTTTGGTCAGGAATTCATTCATAGTTTAAGAGTGAATTAGGTAAACATTACTATTACAAATTATAAAATTAGTTTATGGAATGAACATAAGTAGAATGATAAATGATTTATATTTGAATTTACTAATATTATGTTTAATTTTTAATTATTTAAATATTATAGAAAAATATGAAGACAAAAAAAATTACAAATGCAGATGCTTTGTTGATTTTGGAACACTTTTTTGGCTCCAAAGTTACATTATCCATAGAACAGAAGCGTTTCTTCTTTTAACCAAGGGAATATTGGGGATCTTAAACTCCCAGATTTAGCCATTGGAGCACAACCGTTCATACTGAAAAATAACCCAAAATATAACAAAAAGAAAAGAAACACTGAGCCTCCCCCGTCCCCTCACAAACCAAAGCTCCTTTAGCCCATGGCGTACTTCTGGGTCCAGCTCCTTGCAGTTGTCTCGTACTTGTTCCTGTCTGTCTTGTGCATGTGCGCAATCTCTGGCACCAATGGATCATCCGGATTTGGGTCCGTCAGCAAGGAACATATCGATAGCAATACCTAAATGAACAAACCAACCGAAAATGAAACAAACAAGTTTTGAATAAAAACCGTATGGATAGCTATAGAATGAGTTTTCATTTTAGGTAATTGGAGAAGGACATAAGGCTTGGCTAATTCAGATTGTGGATTCCTTTGTGCCACAACATTGAATATCCAAATGAACGAGAAGAGTTGTACAAAATAATATCACAGATAACTAGAGGACAATCACCTTGGAAATCGTTAGTGCAGGACTCCACTGCTCTTTCAAGATGTCTAGGCAAATGCTTCCATTGCTGTTAATGTTGGGGTGGAATACCTTTGTTCTAAATGCTACCTGCAAAACCCATTTATCATATGGAAATAAGGCTTCAACCATCCTCGTTAAGCGTCTGTCGCTCTTCAAGGGCATATATTATACGTAACAAGTAACCCGAAATAACAAGGGAAACTTTGCATGCGAGCATGCATCAGTGTAAAGAACCTGCCTATATGAAAAGCAGAATTACATAAAAGTACCTTGGGTGGCTTAAAGGGATAATCTGGAGGAAAATGGATGGTCACTAGGAAAACACCCCCAGCATAAGGACTATCTGGTGGACCCATGATTGTTGCTTGCCAATGAAACATGTCATCAGCAACAGGACCTGCAACGTTGCCGAAAAACCAATAAGCACATGCACGTGTAAAAGTTCGATGATACTCCTTGAGGACCTCTACACAAGCAACTGCTGAAAATGAGTGCAAAGTGCAAAACAAACGCAAACAATATCATCTTGCATTAATATCAATATCATCATGCAGACAAAGTAATCTAGTATGCAACATGTAAGCACAAACAGAAAGGTTAGCTAATTCAAGAGGCAGATATAACAATAAAAAGTTACAAAAAAAGGAATCTCTAGAAATGGTTGTCCCAATCTACCACACAACAGACATAACTTTGCTCTAAAGTTCATCAACTTTTGTACACTCCAGACATTAAGACACCAGCAATTTACAGTGACAAACTGAATTAGAAGAAGGGGTTGTAGCACACGGGACATTTCCTTCCTACTTTCCCTTTTATGCATGTCTTGGACATGACATATACATAATGGTCTGAGGGTCAGCTGACAGAACAAAGTGAAAATCATTCATCTGCATTCCAACCGATATAAAAGATAAATGAATCTACACATCATTCCAGTCTTTTAGCTACGGAAGCGAAAATTTCCAAACAGATAAATTCATGAAAAATAAAATAAAATACTTCAATGAATAACATCATTGATGTCAACAGCCTAATATAAGTAACAGATGCCTTTTCAACATTAACTGAAAGCACAATAAGACAAAAATGTAAATGAACTATAGTTTAGGTATGCTATAATCTAATACCAAATATGAAAAATGAGGACCACTTCCAGTTCAACACACAATTCATAAATGCTTCACCTGAACTTATAATGTTTTATGTATGCTTTTAACGTTTTACAACCATATTGGTATTCTTTTATGTTTTACCGTATAATTATATTTTGTCTTCATAAAAAGACAATTCGTGAAACCAACAGCATCATGCAAAAAAGAATCCAAGTCAACTGTCTTTTCCATGGGTTAGCAGCAAAAGTGAAATTACAATAATTTCCTAATTGAAGATAAACGTTAAAATCAGTTCTTGGTTATGCCAGATTGAATGTCCTTTTAAAAATGTCAGGCTTGGAATAAAAATCTGAAAACCTTTGGGGTAATGAATGTTAATCATACTATTCTACAACATCTAAAATATTACTGGTTCAGCCTACCAGGCTTGGAATAAACATCCATGGATGCATGAAATATATAGAAGAATAAGCAATCGAGCAGGAAGACATTTGTAACTAATCCAGAAGCTATCTTCAGTTTACAAAATTTTTAGTGTTCTTTAATTGTTTTACCAAAAAAAAATCTAGAAACAGTTCAACCATGCTCAGCTTTTCTATGGCAGGTTAGAGAAGGCAATGCTATAGGTGCCAAAATGAGTTAAGAGTAGGCATGCAAATAAACCGAGATGAGCTCGAGTACTGCTGATCTTGACTCGACTTCAAAAGTTTAAAACTGAACTCGACTCGAAAACTAGCAAGCTTAAAATTGTCAAGCTCATCTTGAACTTAAAATAAAAAATTAAAGCTCGATTCGAAAGGTCACAAGCTAAAAATTTCAAGTTCAACTCAAAATAAAAAATAACTCGAAAAAACTTGAACACGAAACATTCCCTGACTTAGCCTAATTGAAGCTTAAACTTGAATTTGAACCTAAACCTTAAATACATAAATCCTTGTATTGTATTTAAAAATATATATATAAATGTTAATATTAATAAAAATTTAATTAAAAAAATCAAAATTTTGATATATACATTTTTTTTGAGTTGCTTGCCGGTTTTTCAAGTTAGGCATCAAGTAACTCTCTTAGACTCGTTAAGAACTCGAATCGATTCAAGTCTATTCGATACAAATGTTGACCGAACTTTAATAGAGTCAAACTCAAACAGCTCGCGATCTGTCTCGTCTCATTTACAGTCCTAATTGAGCAGTTGTTCTTAATACAAAAAATGCATGATTGGAGCTCAAAGAACTAAATGTTTGGAATATTGCACGTATTATCTTCATATTTGGGTAAAAATATCAAACAAAAACTTCATAATATCCGAAAAGATTTTAAAATTTCTTTAAAAAATAAATTATATAGTCATAAAATTACTAAATCAAGTTTATCGTAAGATTACATTGGAAAAAGTTTTCGTCTCAATCAACAAATTTTAATATAACATGTTTGACTGTCCCTTGTTCCCATATGTAATGGGGTAAGAGGGAGGTAAGATGGTATGCTGCCCCCAACACTAAGTTGAGAGCAACTTCCGTAGAAAATCTCCGAATTATGAAATGCCCTCCGTGGGACTCGATCCCACGACCTCAAGGATAAGAACCTTGTGCTCTACTAACTGAGCATTTTATTTAAATTTTATCTCAATTAATTTAATTGACAAGAAATTCAAATTGAATTTGACCGAAAAAATAAGACTCTTCGATTAATTTTTTTTTTCATTTTTTACTAAACCTTTTCACTCTATTCGATTGAACTTGTGTATCAAACGGTTGGCTGCGAACACGATAAAAAATAACACAAAAATGCATAAATATCTCAAAAATCTACATAATTATCAAGGAATCAAAATTTACGTTAGTACAAAATATTTCAAACACAATTTTGACTGGGAAAATACAGGAAAACAACAGATATACATGAATCCTCAAGTCTAGAATTTTGAAACAAAAAAATCAATTGTCCAACAAAAAATTAACAGTTCCTTTAAAAAAATATATGATAATCATGTCGAGCAGATCTTTAATCCACGTAAATTTAAAAAAAACATATATACCAATAAATCTATATTTTACAATAAGTTCAAAACAAATAACACATCAATTTTTGAAAAATAAAATATAATAAACATCGAAAAGAAATGTCTTATATAGAAAATGCATTACCGGCACTGCAAGATGTTGGAGGATCCTTTTGTAAATCCTTCAATTCCTTCAAGATCCGCTTTGATGCCATAGCTTAACCTACAATCCATCCCCCGTAGAATAAAAAAAAGTTTAAACAACGCAAATAAAACAATATAATAAATAAATAAATAAAGCAACAATTAAAAGTGAGAAACCGAAGAGAACGAACCAGAGAAGATGAATTTGATCCTCCTTTTGGTTTTTTCCTTTGTAATGCCTGGATAAAATTTGGAGAGGAAAGCTACTTCGAAGACCTTCGAAGGTGGACGAAACGAAATAATAAAATTGCGAGGAGAATTTATTATTGGATGATGGGGCGGTGATTTATATATTGGTGGACCGGCATCCGCGATTGGGTAAATGCCATTCTTTAGTGGGTCCCATGCTGTAGCGTTATCTATACGAAAAGTCAGCCGATTGTTCCAGAAAGTGACCCGCCAGTAATTATCTAATTGTATCGAAGTGGAACGGAATTGACGGACGCGTGGCCTCTCGGATCCCTCTGTTGTCGTTTGAGGAAAATGGTTATTCATTTGGTTGGTTTAATTATATTAAAATCATAAGTTAATTGTATCGCATATCCTAAAAATATGACCCTTATTTCAAATTGGCACATAAACTTTTAAATGTTTCAATCTCATCCTTAAACTATGGTTATTATTCTAAATTAGTCCTTAAACTTTTGAATATTTCAATTTCATCCCCAAACTATGACCTTCATTCTAAATTGGTCCCCTAACTTTTTGAATATTCTAATTTCATCACAAACTATACATATATACTAATCATTTCTCTTGTTAATAAAATCGTTAGACCAAGTTATATTATTATATGTTTGAAAAAATTTAAGTCAAATTGTGGTTGAAACCAAATACTTATTTGTATGAATTTGAGAATGAAATTAAAATATTTAAAAGTTTGGGGACTAATTTAGAAAGAAAGTAATATTTCAGATATGAAATTATAATGTTTACAAGTTTAAGGACTAATTTAGAAAGGATTCATGGTTTGAGGGTGAAATTGGAATATATAAAAGTTTAAGGATCAATTTAAAACGAGAGTTATAGTTGGGGACATATGAATACAATTAACAATAAAATCATTAATATTTAATTTACTTTAATAGGTCAAAATAATTTTTATTTAGTTAAATGTTACAACAATATTTATTCAGAGATTCCATGATTGAATAATTAAAATATTAAAAAAAAAGGGGATAAAACATTAATCTTTACGAGGAGAGTAACGTTTTGTTAATCAAAATAGTAGTGTTTTAGAAATTAAATGATTAAATTGGAATCATATTTTAGGGCAATTTTATCGATAAATCATCGGTGATTGGTATATTTATCGATCTAACACCGGTCATATTATATTTTTCGATCTAACACCCGTAACAGTAAAGCGCGCCCCTGAACCGCGCTATACGCTGATTTGGCGCCACATGGGTATAGCGCTCCCCCTATCCCGCGATATACGGTGATCTGGCGCCCCTTATCCACGCTATACCTGGGTATCTGACACGTGGGGTATAACGTGGTGCAGGGGGCGCGCTATACCCCTAAATACCCATCCCTTCACGTCCCCATCTTCCCTATAAATACCCTCATCCTCAATCACTTTTATCACACCAAATTCTCTCAAATTCTCTAAATTTCTCTTAAATGCTCTATCTTTTTAAGGTATATTTTATAATATTTTTACTATTATGTATTTACTTTATTTAATATTTTACTAATATAATTCTTTTGCAGATATATAATGGAAGGCGGTCTACCCGTAGCAGTCGAATGTCTTCCCCTGGAGCTTGAAGCCATCGTGTCAAATGAAAACTGCACAGATGGTTGCGTCGATGGCATCTCCATATGGTCAAAGAAATTTGCAGATGAATGTCTTCCCCTCGAACTGGACGCGGTATTGCCATACGGATTGTTCGTGGATCCACCTCGGTACATATCGTAAGGAGTTGCAGATGAATGTCTCCACATTATGGCATTAAAATCATTACACATTACTGTAGTCGGGCTGTCAACTTGATCAACTTGTTCAGTCAGCCCATAGTGTGTGCTTAAAGATTGACCCCGAACAACACGCACTTAAACAAAATGTGCATACATCTCAATAGCGGCGTCTGAATAATTACTTTGAGCTTCAACCATCATTTGAACATCATCATTGTTCGAAAGTTCGAACACTGTATAAGTTAATGGCAACAATGATGTTGGAAATCTGTACTGCAACGACGATATTTTTCTGTTACTTCCAACATGAATCTTCCTCGAAATCTTCATCATCAGCTCCTCAAGAGTTTATGTTTCTCTTGAATGATATTTTAACATGCTCATTTGATACGAATACAACGCCGATTTCATCTTCTCGAATTTCACCATCATAATAAACAATAGCTGAAAGTCGCGCCATTCTTTGAGTTTAAAAGTGCGACAATATTATATCTGCAAAAAAAAATAACTTAAACAAACCTGATTAAATAAATTATATATGAACGAAAATATAACACAAAATTTTTTGTACACATCAACGTAAATAATTTAAATAATATAATTTTATATTATTACCTGCACCGCAAAACTATTTCGACGTATGCTCCCGCTTTTCAATTTTATAAACATAAAAATTAATTAAAAATAATTAATATAATATTTTTTCAAATAATGATAATAAACAATAAGTATAATTAAAAAATTATAACAAAATTACCTTATAACGAAAAATCGCACAAACTTCTAAATCAAATATAAGAAGATTGCCAGAATTATTACTCGTTGACGGAATTGTTGTATTAATTTATAAGAGAGGAGAGACGCGAGGAGATGTGAGGAGAGATGCAAGAACGGGAGGTATTTATAAACATATAAGGCGCGATAATTGCATATGTAATTGTTATATAGCGCGGATCAGGGACCACGTTAAATATAATTTTGGTACGACGTATAGCGCGGCTACTGATCCGCGCTATACCCCTACGTGGCGTATAGCGCGAAGCAGAGGGTGCGATACCCTACGTGTAACCTAGTCAGCGTATAGCGTGGTACAGGGGGTGCGTTATACTCCACGTGGCGCCAAAATCAGCATATAGCGCAGTTCAGGGGCGCGCTTTATTGTTACGGGTGTTAGATCGAGAAATATAATCTGACCGGTGTTAGATCAATATATATACCGATCACCGGTGATTTTTTGAGAAAATCACCATATCAAAACGTTAATATCTTAGAAGTCGAATATTTATTTTTGTAGTTTATTTATAAAGGTAAAATGATAAATTTAATAACTATTTTTTTCAATTTAGTTTATAATTTATTAGTTTATACTAATACCGTAGTTGTTGTTCGATATGTTCATTGTGAATCCAATGACGCCACTCATACCGTAGGGTATATGTAAATTAATTTTCTTTCGTTGGTAAGTTTTTAATCTATGTTTTTATTGATCGACTGTAGCACAAACTTTAATGTTGATTGTCGACCGTTGATATTATTTTTGTCTTTTTATTTTCTATTGTTTTTTTCAATAAATTTACCTTTATGACACGTTTTCTTCTTTCTTATGATACATTTTCTTATTTCTTTTGACACATTTTTAGGTTGTTTGACCATTGGTTTCACTTATCTTTTTCAAAGGGTTGATTAGACATCGATACGACTGATCTAGATGATTTTATATGTTATATTGTTGACATTATCTGCTCTGGACTCTCATTTGGATACCTGTTATGCGTTTATGGATAGTTTTTCACGTCGCTTAAGTATGATTTGCGGTATTGTCGGTGGGTTTTCAATAGCCTGATCTCCTTTTGTAGTTTGTTTGCCGATGCGATTAGATCTGTTTATATATATATATATATGTTCAAGTTTTTTTTATTAGATTTTAATCTTTTCTTGTATGGTCTTTATGTCATATTAAGTTGCTAGTTTTGTTTATGTGATTATAGGAAATTATCCTAATTATGTACTTAATTTACGAGTATGATTATAATTTTTTATTATAATTTAGGATATTTTTCTTAAATAAAATTAGTTATTTCTTAATTTTTTTTTTATGGTTTCTCTATCTTTCCCTTGATTTAAAATAATTAAAAACTGTGGATTTAAAGAAAAATAAAGAGATGTCCAACTTTCTTTCCTTTCCCTTGTTCTTTTAAAATCCAAACATATGACTAAGGATTTAACTAGAATAACTTGAACTTTACGGACCAATTTTAAAATTTGACAATTGCTTGGGGATGGCATGTGAAGGCAATCTAAAACAAATTTGTTGAGAGTGGAAATTGACCCACGCATTATAAGAGAAAAATATTCACGTCTTACAGAGGAAACCAACCATTATAGGTCCAATCAGAATGGCCTACCAAGCAAACTTCACTGCCATTTTGCTTCGCATAGTAGAGGAGAGAATTGGGTTTTGGACTTGGAAAAAAATATAAAGTATTTTTATGTCTCGTCATCATCCATAGTAGGTTGTTACATTAGCATTATAGATTATAATATTAGTTCAATGAATCATTTATATTAATATCGTAATATTCGACATTCAAATTTAAATATTGACGATATCTAATTTTGATAAATATTTTAATATTTAAAAATAATACATAAGATCATACTCATTACAGATATTTCCAGAGTTTTGAATGAAAACTCAAAAATAAACCTTTATATAAGTAAAGTATATTCTATTACTTTAAATAATTAATTTAATATTACATTAATAAATTATAGAAATCATAGAAAAATAATTAAATTTTTTCAAACACATTTTTTCAAAAGTTTTCCCTGTGGCCTTATCTATTGCTGCTTCGACGTTGAGCGACCTGGAAAACGTGGAAAGAAGCATTGCTTTGTTCTTTTTTGAGAATAAGTTGGATTTTAGTGTAGCTCGTTCTTCGTCGTATCAAGCAATGATTGATGCAGTTGGAAAGTTTGGTCCTGGATTGGTTGGTCCCTCCGTGGAAACCCTGAAGACGACATGGTTGAAAAGGATAAAGTCTGAGGTGAGTTTGCAATCGAAAGATGCGGAGAAAGAATGGGCTACCACCGGATGTACAATCATTGCAGACATATGGTCAGACAATAAATCTAAAGCTTTTAATCAACTTCTTAGTTTCATCGCCCTCGAGGACCTTTTTCCACAAGTCTGTAGATGCTTCCTCGTATTTCAAGACTACAAAGTGCCTTGCTGATTTATTTGATTCCGTTATTCAAGATATTGGCCCGGAGAATGTGGTGCAAATTATCATGGGTAATAGTTTCAACCACACTGGTAT